TGAGTGGGCATTCATTTCTTTTTTGAAATCTATGGGATTTGTACTAATGTCAGTTAGTTGGTCTGTGCGGCCTTCTTCTGGAGTGAAAAATATTTCTGCATTTTCTGCCTTGCTGTCATTTCGTGGGTTGCTGAACACCGACTCATACTGTTCTTTTAGGATTTTACTCATTTCCTGTTCATCGTCGGTATATGAGTCTCCTCTCAGTAGTGGTCCAATTCTACAGGTAGTTCTTAGCTTGGATTTTTGTGTAGGAATAGGAATATTTTGGGTTTCTTGCAATATCCTGTATGGCACTTTGTACTTCTTCTGTGAGGTATGACATCCTAAGTAGCATATTTATGTTTTTAAGCAATTCAGTAACCTGTTTTCTTCTTCTGTACCATCTCCTACACTCTCTCTCTATATTTGATCTTCTTCTGGGTTTCCTCAATGATACGTGCTTCATACATACCTTGTATGCTTCTGCATTCAGCTTCTCTAGGCACTGGTGGGGATTTAGGGTGCTCATGTCTGATTCCCAGGGTGTGTCTGATAGCTCTATGGTTGTTAAAATTAAACTTACTGAATATCCCGTCTCTAACATTAGTGATGCAGTTTTCTAACCCTGAGTTAATATTCGTTTGAACCTCAGTGATGTTATGATCAAAGTACTGTATATTGTTTTTGTAACTGTTATGTCTCTGAGCAGTTCATCGTTGTCTGTGAATATCAAATCCAGGGTATTTTCATTTATAGTGGGATCAGTTACCTGTTGGTTTAAAGAGTATTTTTCACAAAGCCTCATTAGTTCCCTGGTATGCGCCTGTTGAGCCAGGGTGCTTCCCGGAGGTATTTCTGGTGTAACATTACGTTGCGCCATCTTCCATTTTACACGAGGGAGATTAAAGTCTCCAAGGAGTAAAATATTTGGTGTGGGATTTTCTAGCCTATCCAGATAGCTATCTATCTTCCTTAGCTGATCTGTGAATTCCTCAGCAGTTGCTGATGGTGGCTTCTGTACTAGGATAATTACCAAATTCCTATTTTCAACTTTAATGCCTAGAATTTCTACTATATCATATGTAGAGTTCAGCACTTCTGTGCAACAGAAGGTATCCTTTTCATAGATTCCTACTCCTCCCTGTGACCTATTAATTCTATCACATTTATACATGTTGTAGTTTTCTATCTTTATCTCTCCATCCAAAACATCCCTTGTATGTGTTTCTGTAAATGTTTCAAACATGACATTCGCTTCTGTTAGGAGCCCACTGACACTAACTAACTTTGTCATTTTTATTTGATTTCAAACCCTGAATATTTGCAAATGTAGTATGAAGCAGGAATTACCATTTGGGATGTTTTGTCTTGCTTTGTGTTTCATTAGTACCACTGGTGATATACTACCTGGTATGTCCCCTGGTTTCTCCAGTACTGGCTTTGCGTTTGGTTGCTTATTCAGCCTTGATGGGCTGATGCCTGGTTTGGTATGCCCCATTTTACTGACCATCTGTCCTCTCTGTACCATTCCCCCTCTTTGTCTCTTCCTTTGGTTCAATTTTTTATCTTTTTGTCTAAAAAAGATTGCTGTTCAATTTCCCGGTCTCTGCTAACTCTGTAGTGCCACATTTCTTTTATATGGTGGTCTGGGCAGCTCAGGTCATACCATTCTCTGGACTGCATTGAAGCTTTACACATTACTGGATGGAAGTACCTGCACTCTTTGTTGAAACAACACTTTCCCTTCCTCAACATGTTGGCACATTTTCTGGTGTGTTTATTCCAGCAATCTCTGCCATATAGGCACATACCTTTTGCATAGTATCGGCAAATGTTCTGACTACCTATATTTACTGATTTTGTGTCGTTCCCAAGTTCTGCCACCTGATCTGAGTTCTCTTGTTCACTTTCTTCTAGGCTAATTTCTTCCCTTTTCTCGTTTTTGTTTGTTCTTGCACTAGCTTTCTCATCCTCCCTTTCCGCTATGCTATGTATCCCTGTTTCATTCTTTTCTGATTTGCTCTGTATGACGTTTTCCACTCTTCCACTCCTTGGTTTTCACCTGTATTTGCACTTTCCTCATTTTCTTGTTCCTTATCCCCTGCTTTCCACTCTTTGTATAACTCTGGCAAGCTCCTTAGAAACTTCCTTATGCTTTCTAGGTTTTCACTTTTCAGTACCTCTCTTAAGCTTAACCAGCTGTCCCTCTCACTGGGGCAAATCCAGAAACGACTTTCTTGTTTTAGGCTATTTGTCATGGTTGCATGAAGCTTTGTACATGATGTATGTGATGTTTTACCACATATTTCACAATCAATGCCCCTCATTGTGGTGGATGGTGGGTTATTATGTATGGGCTGGGGATGGGGTGGCTGGTAGGTGGGGGGCTGGGCATTGGGTATCCTTGGGTAGAGGGTAGGGATGATAGGAGGAGGGGGCTGTGCAGTGGGGTGGTAGGCTGGGAGGTGGGGATATGTGGAAAGAAGGTGAGGGTGTGAGGAGGGGGGCCAGGGGGGTGGGATTGCTGGATGGGTGGTGTAGGATCCTTGGAATGGGGTGGGGGCATGAGGTGGGGGGGGGTGCATGTGGCACTTGCACATTTGTTCCTCTATAATTACATCATAGATTGTACACTACATTCAGGATTAAAAAAAAATTAACTCTTATCCACAAATTCAGTTCACTATATCACAGCCTATTCATATCCTTTTTCCTCGTTATAACACTTGTATGATAGTTTACACTTCACTGTCACCTCTGCCAATAATTTTTCACTGGTGATGGTTGACCCATGAATATATTCCATATATTATGCACTATGTATTGGGTATTTGCCAGATTGCTGTAATCCACAATTTAAGATAACTACAGTGGACCCCCGGTTAACGAACTTTTTTCATTCCAGTAGTATGTTCAGGTGCCAGTACTGACCGAATTTTTTCCCATAAGGAATATTGTGAAGTAGATTAGTCCATTTCAGACCCCCAAACATACACGTACAAACGCACTTACATAAATACACTTACATAATTGGTCGCATTTGGAGGTGATCGTTAAGCGGGGGTCCACTGTATATCACTGAACATCAATACCTCGTCATTCACTATATTCCTTATATGAGATGAGAAACAATCCTTCAGTATAAAACATGATCCGCTGTGTGGTAACACCTTTAGGCCTAGTTCACAACCCGCTCTCCTCACTTTTATTAATAATAATATCTTATATTCTCCTGTGGGTTTAACAGTAGTCGTTTTTCATTTTTTAACTTTTCTGCTCTTTGAGTTTAGGCTAATCCCTGATCTTTCTTATTTCCCCTCACTGATCTACGATCACTGCTAGTCACAAATCATTTCCTATATGGCACCCTCTATAACAACTGTTACTCTGAGGCCTGGCACTCTAACACTTGGCACTATAATCTCTATTTTTTTTCTTCAATGATCACTGATGTTTCCCTTCTGTGTGTTTAACCCTTTGACTGTTTACGCCGTATAAATACGTCTTACGAGCCACTGTTTCTGACGTATATATACTCAATAATTCTAGCGGCTTCAAATCAAGCGGGAGAAAGCTGGTAGGCCCACATGTGAGAGAAAGGGTCTGTGTGGTCAGTGTGCACCACATAAAAAAAATCCTGCAGCACACAGTGCGTAATGAGAAAAAAAAACTGATCGTTTTTTTTGGATTAAAGCGCCGACTTTGAGGTGTATTTTCATATAGTATTTATCAATGTATTTGCATTTTCATGGTCTTAGGTGATAAAATGGAAAACATATTACAGAAATAGAGATGATTTTCATTACTTTGATGATGAAAACGACCTTGAAACTGAGCTCAAAGTAGCGGAAATGTTCGATTTTTTTACCAATGTTCAGGAGTAAACAAATCACACCACACGTCCAATACACGTCAACTGGGGAGTCTAATATTCTTTCACTAGTGAACTGATATTATTTATACCATTTTTACAATAATGCAGTTGTCTGCATAACAGTAAATTTTGTATTTTTTTGTATGAATAAAAAATCAAAATAGAAAGCAATAATAATATAAGAGGGGCCTAGAGATGTGACTAATGAACAGAGGATATGTTATTTTAGTGCCAAGAATGTGTACATTGTTTATTCTGGACCCTATTTTGAAATTGGCATCTTTTTAATTTGTGTGAAATTGGCCAAATTGCCAATTTCTGACCATTATATTGGGTAGCTCAAATTGGTAAATGGACGGTTTCTTGTACTCAGCTGATAGATAAAATGGAGATCTAAAGAAATAGCTATGAATTTGGTCAACTGGATCAACGAAATTGGCTGAAAACAGGGCTCAAACTCAGCAAAATCGCCGATACGCATATGTTGCCGAGACCACTGACTTTGCGGGAGCGTAATTCCCTGAGTTTTCGACCAAATTTCGAACTTTTGGTGTCATTACCATCGGGAAAAGATTCTCTATCATTTCACAAGAAAAAAAAAATTTTTTTTTTTTTCAAAAATTTATCGACATAGAATGACAGTTTCAGAAAGGGGCCTGTGACAGTCAAAGGGTTAAAAACATATATGCACTTTAGGTTTTCACACGCCTATTTTCCGCACTCTGGCCCTTCTGGGACTGCCAGATACACGCAAATTTAGCGGAGCTCCAACACACGTGACTTCCCCCGGCAGTAACTCGGCAGAGTTCTGATGCAAAATTAAAAATTAAAATTAGAGTATATGAAACATTTGAATTAGGATCCAAAACTTTTTGAACATGACATGAAATAAACAGGTAAAACCTGAAAACTAACTTGATTCAGCTTGAGCTTCCTTGGAGGTAGTACCTTGATGTTGATGATGGAATCTTGATCCAAGGAATTTTATTAACTCTTCCCTTCTTTGAATGAAATCTCATCACCTCCCATTTCCTAAGTACTGTATGACCCCTGCTTCTTTATTATATAATATCTACTTGAACTATAGAAAGTCCTCACTAGTTTCACTTGAGCACTGATACTGTAACATTTTCCAAAGTATCACTTCCATGAATTTGAAATTTTTAATGAAAAACTTTACATTGCAGGGAATGTTACAGCAGCTTATATCAGGACCAGCATTGGCTATGGAAATAACAAGCATACATGGAACTGAAACACCAACCAAATTCAGAGAATTTGTTGGCCCATCTGATCCAGTAAGTTGCATTATGATTCAAATTCAAATTCGAAGTTTATTCTCTATAAGGATTACAATGCTGAGTTTACAGAAATTTGGTTGTGTGGTTTACATGTAGTAAAATTGTGATTACAGAGTGTACCACTAGAACGCTTAGCATGGCTAGGCATTTCGGGCAGACTTAGTTTTATTCTTAATTGTAAAATATTACAAATTATGAGGTAAGTTGGTATTATGGCTAAGTGACTAAATACTAGTTTGTGAGTTTAGCAATGTGAATGCTTTTGTTTTGGCACAGTACATAGTTTCAGTATTGGAGTATCACAGGATTCATTATTTTAAGATTGAGATTAATATTTCTGTTTATGGTCAAATGAGTGAGTGAGTGTAAGTGTGAACCACCAGGTGGTATTCGTGTAGTTAGTTGACGGGGTGTATCAGGGAGATAAGATGTTTTCTAATGGTAGTTTTGAAGGTGATGAATGTGTCTGCAGTTCTAGAGTTCTCAGGTAGGGTATTCCAGATTTTAGGGCCTTTGACATACATTGAATTTTTGTAAAGGTTTAGTCGGAAACGGGGAATGTCGTAGAGATGTTTGTGCCTGGTGTTATGCCTGTGGGTTCTGTCACAACTATCAAGAAAGCGTTTTAGGTCAAGGTTGATATTAGAGTTTAAGGCCCTGTAGATGTAGATTGCACAGTAGTAAGTGTGGATGTACTGAACTGGGAGTAAGTTTAGGTCTATGAAGAGTGGGGGGGTGTGTTGCCAGGGATGGGATTTAGTGATTATTCTTACTGCAGCTTTTTGTTGGGTATTATTGGCTTTAGGTGTGTTGCTGCAGTTGATCCCCAAGCACAAATAGCATAGGTGAGGTATGGATAAATAAGTGAGTGGTATAGTGTGAGAAGGGCATTTTGCGGTACGTAGTATCGTATCTTGGAGAGGATCCCAACCGTTTTGGATACTTTTTTGGTTATATGTTGGATATGGGTGCTGAAATTCAGGTTGTTGTCAAGGTATAAGCCTAGGAATTTGCCCCCATTATTTCTGGTAATTAGAGTGTTGTCAATCTTAATGTTAATTTGTGCATCTCCTGCTCTGCTACCAAACATAATATAGTAGGTTTTGTCAGTGTTAAGCGTAAGTTTATTGGCTGTCATCCAAGTCGATATTTTAATCAGCTCCTCATTCACAATGGTGTTGAGGGTGGCAAGATTAGGGTGAGAGATGACATAAGTTGTGTCATCAGCAAAGAGAATGGGTTTCAGGTGTTGGGATACGTTTGGAAGGTCATTGATGTATATGAGGAAGAGCAGGGGACCAAGGACACTTCCCTGTGGAACTCCAGTATCAAGTGGCCGTGTTGCTGATGCTGTGTCTTTAATGGTGACATACTGATACCTATTAGTAATGTAAGATTTGAAATAAGCAAGCGCATGGCCTCTTATACCATAATGATCAAGTTTGTGGAGTAGGATGTCGTGGTCTACTGTGTCAAAAGCTTTTCTTAGGTCAATAAAAATTCCTAGTGGATATTCCTTATTTTCCAATGCTGTGTAAAGCGGATCTAGCATTTTTATGATTGCATCATTAGTGCTTTTATTTTTCCTGAATCCAAATTGGCAGGGGTTGAGTATGTTTTGAGCCGTTGTAAATGAATACAGTCTCCTGTGCACGAGTTTCTCAAAGATTTTGGATAGCAATGGTAAGTTAGATATTGGCCTATAGTTGTTTTAAGTCTGTAGGGTCACCACCTTTATGTATTGGTGTAACCCTTGCCATCTTGAGTAGTTTCGGGAAGGTGCTAGTCTCTAAGTGACTTGTTAAAAAGTAATGAAATAGCATGCGAAAGGACATGGGCCGCTCGCTTGTACAGTAATGGTGGGACATGAGACAGATTCCCCGAGTTATTTTTAAGTGACTTTATAATCTCAGTGACTTCCGTGGGCTCAGTTGGTGCAAGATAGAAGGAATTAGGGAAATTCCCATCTAGGTAGTCCCCGGCATGGGCATTGGTATGTGGGATTTTACTGGCGAGATTAGATCCTATGGTTGAGAAGAAGTTGTTTATCTTGTTAGCTGTGTCAGTGGGATGTAGTGGTGTTTCATTAGGTTTAGTTAGGACAATATTCTTGGTTTTTCTCAGTTTGTGGGTCCCTAGAATCTGAGAGAGTGTTTTCCAGGTCTTTTTTATATCTCCTCTAGTGTCTGTGAATCTACTGGAGTAGTATAGTTGTTTGGCTTTCTTTATTACTTTGGTGAGAGCTGATGAATAGTGTTTAAGAATATCTTTGTGTATTAAGCCCTGTCTATATTGCTTTTCATATTGGTGTTTCTTGTCAATGGATTTCAGAATGGTGCTGGTTAGCCATGGGCAACCAAGCCGTTTGTTTGTGATCTGTTTTGTTTTTATAGGACAATGTTTGTTGTATAGTCTAAGTAATTTGTTAAGAAAAATGTCTGTCCAGTCATCAATACCATTGGCCTTGGAGAATTCTGTAGGCCAATCAATAGTCTCTAGGTCAGCTGTGAACTTCCTTACTGAGGTCTCGTCATGGAGTCTAAATGAGACTTTGTTGTATTCAAGTGGTGGTTTACTAATGTTTGTCAGGAGAAAGGTAGGGTAGTGGTCTGTAGTGCTATCTGTGATTATCCCTGATTTAAGGGGGGCCAGTATATTGGTCCATATGTGGTCTATTATGGTTGCACTTGTCTCAGTGAGCCTGGTTGGTTTAGTTATTGTTGGTATGAGAAGTGTGTTGTTCATATTGTTGATGAAATCAGTTACAGGCTGATCATCTAGTAAGCCAAGGTTGATGTTGAAGTCTCCAGCTAAGAGAAGGTGGTGCTTATTCATTTGTCTGTTTGTTATTAGTGACTTTAATTTCTCACTGAAATTTGGGATGTTTGTGTGAGGTATCCGGTAAATGGCACTGATTGTTATAGGCGTCTTAAGTTTTTTTACAGTAAAATTAGCAAAAATGTATTCCCCATATTCATCACTAAAGCAAGTGGTGCTAATCACTACGTATATTAAGGCGAAGGTGGTCCTTGATAAGCTGTAGGGTGGTCTCCATGCAGGTCTCTTGGGTGACTGTGGCTGGGAGATGTTTGCTGTTAACTACAACAGCCTCAGATAGCTGCTGTTGGTCATTATGGTCTTGGAAGTTGGTTATGACATTGGCAAGTTGTTGGTCCACTCTTGATCTTTCCTCTGTAATGTTGGTAGTAAGTAGGGTGACTTGGTCTTTTAGAGTGTTGATGGTGTCTAGGGACTGGGTGTGGGTGTTGCTTTGTTGTTCTAGAGTATCTAGTTTATGTTCTAGAGCAGTGATCTTGTTGAGGTAATCTGCATTGCTAGCCTTTAGTTCCTGCATTTCTTGAGTTAGTTTGGTGATCGTTTGGTTCTGAATCATAAGGAGTTTAGCTATTTCTGGGTCGGTGATCTTCTTGACATCAAATACTGGGAAGGAGTTATCTTGGACTGTAGCGGCGGCCATGTTTGTTGTTGTCTGTCGTGTGTTGTGGTGATGCCGGTGGGTGATGAGGGTTGTGTCCTGGCTGGCAGTACCACAAGTTTTCCTCGTGTTATTACTGCTCTCACCTTTGATGTTAGGAGTCCTTAGCTGGTTACTGGATCTTCTTTTATTGTTCTGACCCTTGTCCATTGGCTGTGGCTTCAGGTGAATAGTAGGCGATGGGTGATGGGTGAATGTTGTGGAGTATCACCAGTGGCAGCGGGGTAGGAGTTCGTAGTACGAGTCCTATTAGTTGGTAATTTGTGAACTTTTGGGTGATTTCTGCAGTTTGCTTTATATCATTCTGGGTATCCACACATGTTAGTGTTATGCGGGTCTTGATTAGGTCATCACTGGGCTGCTGGGAACCTCAGGTAGAAGTAAAAATAGAGGACAAGGTTCCTGTTGCCGCTGCCGCTGCCGCTGTATAATTGAAGTAAATTGGCATAGGCAAAGATCAGATGCAGCATATAATCTTTTATCACACCAGATGTCACCACCAACTTAAGGTGGGAGATGGCCAGTGTGTAAAAAAAAAAAAATATTCATCATTTAAGAAAGGGATTAAATGAATAATGGTGAATGTGTTAACATTTTTGGGTCACCCTAACCTGGTAGGAGATGACTTGCATGGCCATTTTTACTTTTTGGCATTAAACAGAAATCTACTTTCACTGCCTATCACTAAAATATGATAATTATCTACTCTTGGTCATGAAGTTTCTGTATTGCTCTGGGCCTTACCTAATAGAGCAACCAGCTTGATGTACAGTGGACCCTCGCATAACGCTATTAATCCATTCCTGAGAGCTCAATGTTAGGTGAAATTATTGTTATGCAAATTAATTTTCCCCATAAGAAATAATGGAAATCAAATTAATCCGTTCCTGACACCCAAAAGTATGAAAAAAATTTTTTTTTACCACATAAAATATTAATTTTAATACACACAAACTGAAGAAGACTTGCACAGTTACATGACACTTACCTTTATTGAAGATCTGGTGATGATTGATGGGATGGGAGGAGGGGAGAGTGTTGATGGTGTTAGTGTTTAGAAGGGGAATCCCCTTCCATTAGGACTTGAGGTGTCAAGTCCTTTTCCAGGGCTACTTCCCTTCTTCTTTTAACGCCACTAGGACCAGCTTCAGAGTCACTGGACTTCTGTCGCACAACATATCTGTCCATAGAGGTCTGTACCTCTCGTTCCTTTATGACTTTCCTAAAGTGGTTCGCAACATTGTCAGTGTACAGGTTGCCAACACGGCTTGCAGTAGCCTCCAACCCCAAGGACTTCCCCAATGCCACAATTGATTCCTCAACTGGCATACGCCTCTCAGGGTTAGCCTCAAATCCTTCAAAATCCCTTTGGTCTACACATTCTGGCCACAGTTTCTTCCAAGCAGAGTTCAAGGTCCTCTTAGTCACTCCCTCCCAAGCCTTACCGATAAGGTTTACACAATTGAGGATCTTAAAGTGATCTCTCCAAAACTCTCTTAGA